AAACACAGACACACACACACACACACACACACACACATACACACATAGTGGTTTGTATTATTACACTTGTGAGCTATTTACATTTACATTTTTATTTTTTAGCAGCAATAAATACTAGTAAGAGCTCATAGTACATATCACATCAATGGGGTAAATACCTAGAGAAGGAAAAAGTGCAATCAATACAAGATAATTGTAAGGGGATAGAAGAAGAAGAGCACAGGAAGTACATGTTAGAGGTTAGGAATTAGAGGTGTTATGAGAGGAAGTGTTCTCGGAAGAGATGAGTTTTCAAGAGCTTCTTGAAGTTAGAGAGGGACGCCCCTGCTCTGATGGTAGCTCATTCCACCATCGTGGTGTCATAGATGAGAATAGCTTGGACTGGGATTGCTTTGTGTGAAGGGATGGCAGAGCCAGGCGGCGTTCGTTAGAGGAGCGTAGCGGCCGAGAAGAAACGTAAACTCGTATTATGGAGTTTAGGTAGATGGGTGCAGACCCAGTAGTCACTCTGCATGCAAGCATTAGTGACTTGAATTTGATTCTGGAGGCCATAGGGAGCCCGTGGAGGTAACTCCGTAATGGAGTGACATGAGTCCTTTTGGGCTGATCAAAAACCAGATGTGCTGCTGCGTTCTTAACCATTTGTAAGGGTTTCACTGCACAAGCTGGAGGACCTGCTAGGAGGGCATTGCAATAGTCGAGGCGAGAGATAACCATGGCCTGTACCAGAAGCTGGGTGTCATACTGAGTGAGGTAGGGCCTGATTTTCCTTATGTTGTATAGAGCAAAGCGGCATGATCGAGAGACAGCAGCAACAGGGTCTGAAAAGGACAGCTGGTCATCAATCATGACACCCAAATTTCTCACCACCTGGGTTGGAGTGATGGTTGAGGAGTCAATTTGTAGTTTGATGTTATGGTGGACAGATTGCTTGGCTAGAATGACCAAGAGTTCAGTCTTAGAAAGGTTTAGTTGAAGGTGGCGAGCCTTCATCCATGCAGATATGTCCGAGAGTCTGTGATCCGCGCAGAGACGGTGGGAACGCCTGGCGGGAAGGATAGGTAGAGTTGCGTATCGTCTGCATAGCAGTGGTAAGAGAAGCCGTGCGAGCAAATGATCGGCCCCAGTGAGGTGGTGTAAATTGAGAAGAGAAGGGGCCCTAGCACTGAGCCTTGGGGCACCCCTGTGGAGAGGCAGTGGGAGGAGCATAATTGTCCTTGCCACAAAACATTGTAGGAACGCCCCGAGAGGTAGGATTCGAACAACAGGAGTGCTTTACTCGAGATGTCCATTGCTGAGAGAGCGGATAGCAGGATCCTGTGGTTGACTGTGTCAAAGGCAGCTGATAGGTCAAGCAGGATTGGGCTGCAGCTTTAGCTGACCTTAGGGCTTCTGTTACAGACAGAAGAGCCGTTTCAGTAGAGTGGGCACTCTTAAAACCAGACTGATATGGATCTAGGAGGTCATTCCGTGAGAGGAATCCTGAGACCTGTTTAAATACTGCCCGTTCAATAGTTTTGGATAAAAATGGTAGAAGAGACACTGGTCAATAGTTCTCAACTTGAGTTGGGTCAAGTGAGGGCTTTTTGAGCAAGGGTGTAACCCAAGCCCTTTTGAAAGTGGTTGGGAAGGTTCCTGAAGCCAGAGAAGTATTTATCACATGAGTGATTGTCGGGACCACAGTAGGAGATATGGCTTGGAGGAGATTCGTAGGAATTGGGTCCAGTGGGCATGTAGTTGGACGGCTACGGGTCAAGAATTCTGATACTTCGCTCTCTGTGAGAGGAGTAAACGAGGAGAGTGAAGAACCACTGACCTGAGAGGGCAGAGGAAAAGATGTAGTAGGACTGCTACAATGGTTGAGTTTGAATGTTTTAGAGAATTGGCTAGTTATAGCCGCCACTTTGCCTGTGAAGAAGGCAGCAAAGGTATCAGCAGACAAGTTTGTGGGTGGTGGAGGTGGAGGAGGATTTAGAAGTGGAAAATAATTTCCTTGAGTCAGTGGCACTGCTAATTCTGTTATTATAGAACGCGTTTTTTGCAGCACTGATCTAGACTTAAATTGTTTCCTAGAATATTATATCTAATCATAACTTAAATCCAAACTTCATGACGCATAAAGAAAACCGGCATTTGTATTTATTGCTGATTTTTGAAACTGTTATACATACCAACTATGATGATACTAACAATTATGTAGATGTTAGTAAGATGTACTGATTGGAAATCCTCACCTCTTAACCAGCACCCTAAACAGAAGCATAAGCACTACCACCTTGAAAAAACACGTAGGGAAATATCACACTTTCACACTAACACAGAAGTACACACACATACCAAACAACAAAATTATTTGCTGAACTGTTTACACCACCAGCAGAGATAATGCCACTCGCTATCATTACATTATGTTGTCAATAAATCCCTGTGAGACCTTTTCACAGCCTCGTCTGTCAGGGCTGTTTTGTAATTTGTAATTTTTCATGTTGTACTAATCAAAACAGTAGCAGTGGGTTGGACTGTGGCTTCAGATGGATCACGAGGACTCTTTCTTTAGTGAAAGTGCAGTGAAACCTGAGGAACATAAAGTTTTATCAAAGCTGCACCTCCGTCACTGCACTGCCCTTCTACACACAAATAAAATCCAAGATTTCATCCAGCCTAATAGGGTAATTCAAATGGATTTCCTTATTTACTATTTGATTTGGTAGCTTATCATGGTTTCTGTTCGCACTCGAAAACAACTTGCACGTACGCCATGTATTTTAAATAGTCCAATTATTTGATCATAAATTATTAGTTAATTATTTTCGGCGGATGGCACATTTCACGCGGTCCTGCACCCAATAATTTACAAATTAACCACTGCGGTCACTCACCGCTTCGGTCCAAACTGAAACAACTTGACCAATAATTAATGGATTGCCATGAACTTTGAAACAGACTTTCCCCACAGGATTAAGTGTAATAACTTTGGTGATCTCTTAACTTTTCCTTTAACACCAACATCAGGACTAAATTTCACTTTGCCCAAAACTTTGGTCTATATGCCTGCAGACCAGATGAACTTCCCACCAGCCATTGCTGTTCTTTGTGTTTAGCAAATTAGCAAATGTTAGTATGTTAACCATGGACATTCTTAGGCCTATTTTAGGGGGTAGTTTGTTTTTTGACTTTTTATAGCCTCATCCTGCCATCTACAAGCACCTTGTGTTGTTGCTGTGCTCGGGGAATTTCTTGTTTTATAACATATTTCAGGATTCACAATAGGGACTCTGTTGTCCTTGTATACAAAATACAACAAAATGCAGCTTAGAGCGAAATCTTGAACTTGTTAGCTTTACTTTCTATGAAACAGTCTTAAAAATGTCACATCTTGTTCTCTTGATAAATATAGGTTAGGAGGATCCACCCAATTTTTTTTTTTTACTTCTGATGCCCATGTAACATTACAGTAACTTTTATTCAACAGAGGAGAAATGGAAGAACAGAGTGTGTCTGTCTCTTTCTATTTGTTAACCTCTTGGCTTCTTCTCTGGTTGTTGTCATAAGTGTAGTTCTAATACAGTAACAAAAGATGCGAGTGCAAAGATTTTACAAGCGCAAGTTACGCCTGCCCTGAGGGCTAAGCCCGCCTGTCCTTCAATCCCAGTGACGACCCTGCCGCTACAAAGATTGTGACCATGATGAACATTATAGCTGCTAAACATCGGCATGTTAGCATTGTAATTATTAGCATGTTGCCATGCTGATGTTAGCATGTAGCTAAAAACACTGTTCACCTACAGAGTCAAAGAGTCGCTAGTGTACTGTGGAGTCTGAAGAGCAACACAGACTCAAAATGTATGACCCACAAAACACCAAATGTTTTCGTCTGATGTGTCCTACTATGGCCGTCAACTGACTTTAGTCAAATGAGGCAATTCTACTTTCTCTAATGTGTCTTGCTCTTTAGTCTTGTTTTGATTATGAACTCAATCCCAGAAAATCAGGAGCACCTGGCAAAAAACAAAGACGAAACACCCCACTTTGATTAGCCTTTGATTGTTATGCTTCTCTCTCCCCAACTGAGTCAGAAATAAGGAGGCAATGGACTGTTAAACAATGGAATTGTCCTGTCATTTCTACAATGAGAAATTACTCGAGTAGTTTAAAAGTTTGTTTTATTGGATTTTAATGCAGCACAGTTGATTATTCTGACATTGAGACTGCTTTGGGATTGACAAGGCAAAAAGGGTCAGAGGGTTTCAGATAAAAGCTTGGTATAATTATTATAATAATCTTCCGTCGGCAGCCTGGCAGGAAATCAGACTCAAAGCCCAGATCACACAGTATTTCCTTCATTGTAATTATGACTATGATGATCAGAAAATGTTCCTTTTCAGATGTGTTTCATAACCCTAAGAACACTAACCAACTAACCATTTTCAAGTTGAAGGGCAGACTCCTCTATCAGATAAGCTGTTACAACCTGGATAAAAGGTCACAGTACTAATATAAGAGAGAATAGAGGTGTAATGGAAATGATGAGCTCCAAATGGTACATGAATCATAGTGAATTCAGCATGTGAAACACTGGAAGGGAGGCTATTGAATTTATTCAAAACATTCAACAGAAGCAAGATGACTGGATTTTAATTAACTTGTTTTTACCAAGCTCTAAGAGAAAGCAGACAGGATTAGATCGACACAGTTCAAAAGTGCAGCAAACTAAACCACTGCACTGCAATCTCATGTATAACACTTTGGCAAAACTGACTGTCTGTAAGCCCCGGACAAACACTCGATTGCATGTCCCTTGTCTAAACAGCAGAGATAAGGCCAGCTGAAAACAGGACATATGGGAACAGGAAATTTTGTGGCAAGTGACAATCCGGCTGCAGGGAACAGCCTGCTGCCAGCATTCCTGTGCGTGTTTCCTCAAATTCAACCGTAGCTCGAGTGATACCTTAGCAGAAGAAGTAGTCACACTGTATCAGCTGAGAACACCACCACCGTTTAGGTCACCTCAAATATCTGGTCTTTGGTCATTACACTAAACTAGTCTGTTAAAGGCAAGATTGAGAATTTGGGAGCTTGTGATAGCCTAAATGAGGCTAACCTTGACACAATCTGAGGTTAGTTACAGTTTAATCGAGTCCAACACTCAATATAAAACTAACAAACCCATCTAAACCTTTTCCCTCAAGTGGTTCTCAACATCTTTACATGTTAACATCTTTGTAGCTGCAGTTTCTTTTTAAATGTGTTTTATCTGAACAGAGCACTTTGGTTAACTATGAACGCTACCGCAGTGAACCAGTCAGACTGCCCCGAAGTGAAGGTCCCCGTCCCCCTTTTCTTCACCATTGGTGTTGTGAGCCTGGCTGAGAACCTGCTGGTTGTGGTGGCCATTATTCGGAACAGGAATCTCCACTCGCCCATGTACTGCTTCATCTGCAGCCTGGCGGCTTTCAACACCATAGCCAGCCTCACCAAAACCTGGGAGAACCTAATGATCGTATTTTCCGACGTGGGACACCTGGAGAAGAAAGGTTCCTCAGAGAAAAATCTGGACGATGTGATGGACTCCCTGCTGTGTATGTCTTTTGTGGGCTCCATTTCCAGTTTCCTGGCTATTGCCATGGAGCGGTACGTATGTGTGGCTTGGATTTGTTTGAGATGAACAGTATTTTTAAACCATATGTTTGGTTCATAGGGCTGGATGGATTTTAAGCTGTAATGGTATGAATGTATTCTGCCCCAGCCCACTTATCCATCAGAATCCTCATTTCAAAGATATTATGATGCTGAAAGGATAAAGTGGCTTCACTGACTGTAAAGGAAACCAGAACCATGGCGGGAATACTGTAAGCTGCACTGCCTGCTTTGAACTTTTTCTCTGTGGAGTGCGAGTCCCATAACCAATTATCCTCTGCTCATATTTGAATTTGGATAATTTGGATAAATCTGAACTTTTCTCTGTGCTCTAACTCATAGATCCACAGCTTATTAAAGGCCCCCCTGCAGTGGTTTCTGCATGTTTGACCACGAGCCACATACATTTTACATTACCCCATTGTTACCACATTTTTCACACCTTCCAGGCATTTCAGATAATGTCAGAATGATATGACAACTAAACTGTCTGTAATCCATCACAGTGAAAGTTACACTGTCTCACTTTTTGTATGTAGATGCAAGCAAGGACTTTCACTGCTGGGGTGTTCAAATGCTTATAGGGAAGCAGTGATCTGACATCTGATAATGGGCTGCCAAAAATGAGTGCTTTTACAAACTAGTTGACAAATCAAATCCTGAAAACAAACAGAAAATGTATTTTGTTAAATGGACAATTAAAACGCTTTCTGCAAATGCTAGGGCATTGCTCATACAAATATCAAGTTTTTCAGATGTTCAGATTTTACTTACTTACTGCTAGCTGACTATATGCTGAGACTGCAAATAAAAACATTTCCAAAAGTATCGTTTCTGCTCTCAGAATCTCATAAAATATTTAATTACTTTAAAGCTGCATTCATTGATTTTGGGCCACTAGGGGGCAGCAGAACAGGCTGAAAAAAAGTTTATGACAAATTTGTTTGTGGTCACCTGTAAAATGAAAGTCCAAGGCCAATATTTGCTTTCATTTTAGCTCTGTATTGGTCCTCACCAACTGGCTCTTTAGCAGCTAAATGCTCCACTTTGTAGTTGCTAACTTTGTCAGCCTGTAGTTTGGTGTGAGGCAGGTGGATTTAACGTAGAGTTCTGTTGCCTGATCTGAACCCCAAAAATACCATTTTGTTGCATAAAACTTCCTGATTTGGGTTTAGGTTGTTCCATTTTTTTTTACTTATTGTTTCTGTTTTTCACTCTGATCAACTAGATTCACACTAACAAGTATGTGACTTTATTTGTTTTATTAAAGCAGTTGAAAGAGTTGTCAAAGGTTGCCTGGAGCCAAAGCATACAACTGTTCCCTGGATATAAGGGAATTGGAATTAACAAAATAAATCTAAAGGGGTCTTTAGCTGCTCAGCTGCAGCACTTTAAATGCATCTAAACATACCTGCCAATCTCACTTGGGTCCAGTTAGTTGGTGTGGTTCTTACTCTTCAATACCACCAACAACACACTGTCTGCCCATGACATGTAGACTAGGACAAGTCACTTTGCTTTGTCTCTTTCCCCTACCATGTGACGCCGGTGTTCTGATGATTTATGTTTCTTTGTCAAAAAAGAAATATATTGATTAATGTAGCTGTAAAGCACCAAAGTTTAACTCAAGAAACAAAAAGAGAAAGTGAGCGGATAACAAAACGATTTGTTTTCACTTCCAGTTACATCACCATCTTCTATGCTCTTCGATACCACAACATTATGACGATGCGGCGCACAGGAGCCATCTTGGGTGTCATCTGGACAACATGTGGAGTGTCGGCCGTGCTCATGGTGAGGTTCTTCGACTCCAAATTCATCATGATCTGTTTCGTTGTCTTCTTTGTCGTCTCCTTGGCGATTATCTGCTTCCTCTATGTCTACATGTTCATGCTGGCACGCATCCATGCCAGGAAAATTGCTGCTCTGCCCACCAGCAGCAGGGGGAAGTGTCGGCGTCAACGGTGGAGGGGCAGCAGCATGAGAGGGGCCCTGACTCTCACCATCCTATTTGGAGCATTTGTGGTGTGTTGGGCGCCGTTTTTCCTGCATCTCATCATCATCATGGTGTGTCCTATGAACCCGTACTGTGAGTGTTACCGATCACTGTTCCAGCTTCATGTGGTGCTGTTGATGAGCCACGCCCTCATCGACCCGGCCATCTACGCCTTCCGCAGCGCTGAGCTCAGACACACCTTCAGGAAGATGCTGCTTTGTTCAGACTGGAAGTGGTACACATAGCGCTATTTGGACTGCTTTGTATTCATTGGGTTGCACATATTTAAACCCTGGAGTCAACAGTATAAAGATCTGTAATGCAACTGAACAACTTTGGGTGGTCAAGGGAATCCATTTTTTCAGTTGCATTGCTATCTGAAGCCAGCTACATCAAGGCTACCACCACCAGTAGCTTTAATTTTGTTTGTGCTTGAATGAGCACCTGTGACTGTTCATGTTTTTGCCAAACAGAGTGTTTTTGCGTATATTGTTTTTTCTGTCCATCTTCTCTCTGTCAGTGGCTATCTAACCTTGGATGCAATGTCATTTCACCCCAAGTGTGAATCTCTTCAAATCCTGTTTTAATTATCCATCTGCAGCACAGTCACATAGGACACATATTTCCCAGTACCTATTTTACTTAAAGGACATGTTCTTATTTTACATGGGTCATGACATTGGGTTTTGCATCACTCACAGTGAACCACAGCCACTAATGCAAACAATAACATTTCACCATTTCACCTTTTGCTTTTATTGAGACACAAACAAAATAATTCATTTTAAAGCAACATGGCCAGCACTGGCGTCAGTGATTTCAACTGCAGCTGACATTTATATTTTTGCATGCTATCACTTTACTATTAACTAACATAAAATATGTCCCTACAGCTGTTAATATTGTCTCACAGTACATACAACGCAGGCCTGAGCATGCAATTAGAATCACGTCACCTCTGTCTATCACATTCGGTGTTTTCACTGCTGTTTCTGTGGAAACAAGAACTGAGTACTTCACAATCAATAATATCACAGAAAGGTCAAGTTGGAGGTGAATGTACAGTGAGGAAAATGGAACATTTATGTGTTTTCTTTATTAATAAACCTATAGGAAAAGGGAAAATATATATATCATTGATTGTTTTAATAAAACCACTTTTCCATGTATGAGCATGTTGTGTACATTTCTGTGCATATTCATATGCTCTTTTGATCTTACAATTGCAAAGCGCTTACAATAAACATTAATGGAAGCTACAGCAAGGCAATTACAGCACAATGCAGAAATAAATCATCCTTTTGATACTGTTTTCTCAGTGTTTGTTCCAGAGACATCTTATCTCACTGTCTGTATGCCTCCATGGATCAGTCTGAAGATACAAATAATACAAATGGCTTGCTCTTTTTTTTGCAATAAATATTACTATGTAACACTGGGAAACAAATGTTTAGTATCTATCACCAAGAAATTATGCATAACATTTCTTGTGAAAAGCAGTTTCAGCAGATGGTTGCATTTTGTGTTCTGTCAAGCTTCTCAGTTGGGAGGTAGGCACCACTAACACACTCATACAGAGAGCAATGTTAAGCTACTTGTACATTCATTTTTACATTTCAAGTGTCACCTTATGGCATTTTCTATAGTTTAATACAGACTGCGTGGGCAGGGAGGCAGTAAGAAGAGATCATTGAGGGCACATTGTCAGAATAGAACAGCTACGATTAATATCAAGGTACAAGATACAAGCAGAAGAGTGACATTCAGATCATAGCAGAAACATGTGTGCTACTGAGCGTAGGTAGATTTTCGGAAGCTGCTCGTTAACTGTAGCACTAATGCAACAGCAGGGGGAGGCAGGGCTAACAGCAGGGGCAGAAAATTGGCTGTGGACAGGTGATGTCGTTCAAAAGTTCAGCAGCAGCATAGCTTTCCCCACTTCCCCCCCAGGACATAGACAAGTAATGTCTGGTGGTTTCTCAGTTTGCTAGACGTGTAAACACATCAGCAGTGAATCTTAATTTAACTTTATATAGTTGGATTAAATATTATAAAACAGCTTACTGTGAGTTTGGTCTTGTGCTCCCTTTTCTCATTTTTTTATTTAACACAAGATTGCCTTTGTGGTAGAGCACTTATATACTTGCTTTATAGGAATGTGTTCACGTTAACAGGATTTTTCCTCTGTGGTCCTCTGTACTAAATGTTATTTCTTATATATATTATTAAAATAATTAGTTTTCTAATCTTCCTCAGGACAAAAACCTACTTGGTTAATATTAGGAAAAATACTGTGGTCATGGTTAAAAGAAACCAACACTGACTGTTGGCAGGAATTGGAAAACAAACTCCTGTGTTAAAGTCAACGCCTACTGTACATTCCAACCTCCTCCACAAGAGCTATTATGGCACTAATAACAACGCCATGCCACTATAATAATAAACTAAGTCATACTTAGGTAAACATAGCTCATTTTAGTCATGAATCAACAAACAACTAAATAAACTTTTAGACCGAAAGTATCCCTGTGTTGGTGCAACAGCTTAAAGGCATTAAGATATTGTAGTAAATGCATTAAGAGGAAGAAGCGGATTTACACTCACTTCCAGAGAGCAGTCATCTAGTAATCCTAGTTCTCCGGTGAGTTATCCAAGTGTCCTTGAGCAAGACATTGAACTGCTCCTGATGAGCAGGTTGGCATCAGTGTATGAACGTGTGTGTGAATGGGTGAATGTTGGCATGTGTTGTAAAGTGCTTTGACTGGTCGGTAGACTAGAAAAGCGGAGTCTGTGTCTGCACATGTGTATGTGACAGACAATGTGCGTGAGCATGTGTGAGCGTGTTGCGCTCGAGTGTGCGCACGTCGAGTAAGAACGCCAGAAAGAATTCTCAACAGAAACAGTGACTGTGATGATCTGCTGATAGTCATGTGGACATCATGCCAGCAACATTACACCTTTACACATTACAGTATCAAAATCTATATCTGCACATTTCGTCACAGACATGAAAACATCTAATATGATACTGATATGTATCCATATCGACCAGACAGAATACCGTCATTTATTAAAACAAGGCTTTTGTTGTGAAATATTTGCAGGAGCGTTGTTACATTACTGGTTGAGTACTGGAATTTTACTCTGATAAGTTAACAAAGCGGCATTTTCATCACAGTGATCACGAGATTAAAAGTAGAAGTACAGTGTTCACATTACAAATTAATCTACCAGGAACGTCCGCCTTCACCAGGTTTAGCTTTTTTGCCATACGAAGCACTTCTTTCTGACTCACACCCCAAGATTCTTCCCATTTTTAAATCTCAAACCAGTCAACGCTAACTCAAGTGAGGCAATGTGTCAGGCTTCACACCCCCTCTGGATCCACAGAAGGCTCTATCCATGTTTCTGTTATGCAGTAGTCCCCAACACCTGTATGGAGTTCCCCTTTAATGTTGAGATCACAGCGCAAAAAGCAGCAGAGGCAGCAGTGAGAGACTACAGACAATTAGGCTATTAGGTTCCCATCAAAACTTTCTCCGATTGTTGTTGACTTCACTCACCACCGTTCATTTATCCGTATAGTGTTCATTTCCAAGGATGTGCACAACCACTGCTCCAAAGCAACACCGGGTAGGCATGGTAGCCATTATGTACAGTAGTTAAAAGCAAGTATATAAGCGCTCTTACACAACAGCATTTAAGGCTTACTAATCATAGTAGTGAAAAAGAAAATATCCTGTCAGCCAAAGTAGAATAATAAAAGGAGCTAGAATGAAAAGAAGGCCATAAACAGTTTTCTGTGACGCACTTTCAAATGAATCATGAGGTCCTGGCTGTGTGCTGAAATAATTAGATTTTATTTTATTTGGATCTCTTTTAGCTCATTGTCTAATCTTTCAAGAGTTCAAAAATAATGTACCTAATAAATTTGCCACTTAGTGTATGCGGCGGATACATTAGGAGATAGTAGTTTTACCTTCCTACATTCCTACATTCTGTAGGACAGAAGACTAAAATGTGCTTGACTATACACTGTACTGCAGTGACCCAGTTCTCAAACAGTGTATTTTGATAAAATCTTTCATGGTTACGCTCCAGTGTCAGATTCAGTCAGTTCATCCTACTCATCTTGTCATTGGTCTGTGTCTCTCAGTACTTACCCGTCAGAGCACAGATGCTGGTACAGGCGTTTCTAAGACTGTAACAGCAGATGATCTCTTTAAAAGTCTTTCTCATCTCCTGACTCCTGAAGGCGTAGATCAGTGGGTCAATCACAGAGTTGCACATGATGAGGATGAGGTACATGTTGAAGTGCGACATGAAGCACACGCAGTAGAGGTTCCGCGGACAGGAGATCATCAAGATCAGGTGGAGGAAGAAGGGAGCCCAGCAGACGATGAAGATCCCCAGCAGGATGGTGAGCGTGATGGCCCCCTTCATGCTGGCCCGCTGGTGGATGGAGTTGTAGCCGGGCAGGGCGGCGATGCGCTTGACATGTGAACGAGCCAGCATGAACATGTGGCTGTAGAGGGAGGCCATGATAAGCAGCATGGCGAAGAACATGGAGACCAGGCAGATGATGACGGGTGTGGTGTCTGAGTAGATGATGAAGACGATCCCACAGCCTGTGCAGAAGGTCCAGATACCGCCGATGATGCAACCGGCTCTCCTCACTGTCATGATGTTGTGGTACCTCAGTGCATAGAATATGGTGACGTACCTGTAGATAATAACAAATGTTGATTTTTGAAGTAATCTCAGATCTAAGTAACCTTTGATTTTCTAGCAACTTTTACTGTCTACTGGGGAACTGCAGAAACCAAAGAGGGCAGAGAACTTTGAATAGTCTAGTGAAGTAGAAATACAGTATATGGCACTAACACTCCTTGTCCTTTGCTTTTTATCTGTAATTTTTGGGTTCAGAAACGACATTCTAAGGACACTTTTATGTGTGTATCCGCTTATTCATTAGAGTTTAAAAAGGATGTGTCTGTAATTTAGTATTGCAGTTCAACCAAGATGGGTGACTTATGAGAAACATAAAAAAAAAAAAGGAATGGTCAAAATTGAAGCGCATTTCACATGATGCAAGTCAATATCATCTTTCATTAATTATTATTTATTTTCAGTTTCGTAATTTTATTTAGGGGTTGTACCAGACCAGGTTTACATTTGTCATACTGCACATTGCTGCAGCTCCTCTTTTCACCCTGTGTGTTGAAAGCTTTGTTTTAGCTATGGAGCGATACATCTTACCTCTACAAGATCTTTGTTGGGAGTTGCACATGTGCAGTACCTAGGTAAGGACTACAAGCCAATAAGAAGCAGAATAGGGTGGGTCCTGACAAGCAAAGTAGTGTGATCCAAAACAAAGCCACTTCAGCTGCTTCAGCCATACATGATCCCGGAACAAGGCAGAACAACCCGTACCAGCTTAGCAACCTAGACTGGAGCAAGACGTTTCAGCAGGGTGTGAACTACAGGGGGAGCTTGGCTCCTCTTAATAAAACATGTGCTCCACTGAAAACACGAGTTGTGAAATTTTTGGGGATCTCTAAAATATTGACAATATGCTTTTTTTTTCAATGCATTTCTATTTTGCTAGATCTCCATCATTATGGATCATGCGTAAAAATCAGGCCATTACTGATGTATAATTTGTGCCTGAGGTTGATTCATCACTAATTAATTTTAATTAGCATGCATGCTATTCTTACCATCACCATCGAAGCGGACGGGCGCAATTTAACAAACTTCACTCACTTTAACTCAAGAAAAAAAAAAAACTTTAGTTAGTTTAGTATCACTCAGTCTGCACGTGGAGTAAATCAGGTCACTGCCAGTCCCCATCATGGGCTTATGGACGAACAGCAAAGCAGCTGATCCCAGGCCTGTGTGATCGTTTCTGTTTTAAGGTAAGAACGATTTCCAGTTACCTGTATTATTGCTCTATTAGCATTGAATAGGTACTGATGAGGCTCCCTTGTAGGTAGCCTGACCTATTTTTGTTGGTATTTACAATCCTCATGCATGTGTGTATTGTTAGGCTGGGTTGTTGATATGGGACCCTCGCATTTGATGTATGAAGAGGACTAGATCATACTGAGATGTTTGGATGTGGTTTGATGTGGTCATATAAGTTGTGCTGACTTAAGCAAGAATACAAACATGTTTGCAACTATTAATGTTTCTTTTCAGCAAGAGTAAGTTCTCGCTTTGCGACCCACGCAAACGTCCAACCACCCCCACCCCCGGAAAAAAGAGTCAGCTCCCCCAAAAGCGATGGTATAGTTCGCGCACTGTATTTCATTGGTAAGTTCTTAAATTTGTAACAAATGCATCTTTCATCCATAAAGTTTTAACTGAGCTTCTGTCTCTACATCACAGAAATAACTTTATGTCCACTGACTGCCTGGAGGGTAGCTAACGTTATTTTAATTTCATATTTAGTCAAGAAATAAAAAAGGTAAATATTATAATTAATTACAATGTTGTGTAGAAAACATCAACAGTATGTTGTCATGCATAAGTTTTGTTTTTTGTTCAAAGTGGATAAGAGTTTGACAAAGGTTGTTTTGTTGTTGCCACACTAGCCGCTAGACGAGCATTATGACATGTGTTACATAGTGATGCAGGTAGTACAGAATAAAAAGGCTGGAATACAATCGAGCTGTTTTCAGGCAGGTTCAGGAACAGAGTTTTCTGTGGGTGATGGTAACTCCCTTTGTGACTTTGGGCTTTTTCACTTTGCAAACCTATTACATGCACAAAAAAGATATATAACTCAATAAAGGAGAGGGAACAAGCACAAAAAGCTGAATATGACCTCTTTAAAGCCATCTCTTCCTGGTAAACACCAAACAAAACTAAACTTCATGTGTAAAATCAGTGTACTGTCACTGTCAGAAAGTACTGGGAATGATGTGGTTATAGAGATCCATTTCAACCACACAGAAAGAGACATTTTACATTTTAACATGTTCAGGTGACCTGAAGTGCACTGGCTGACAGATGGGCACTTTTATAACATTATGCCACCGTATTCATTCATTGGAATTAATTGAAACAGTACCGATTAAACATTGCGTCCATGTTCCTGGTAATTGGAACCAAATTACATAGTCCTCTCCACGACCCTTCTTCAGAAATTATTACTACACACGAGTTCTGTTCTAGCCCATTATCACAAAGCTGGCGGATCAGATGAAGCTGTTATTCTGGACACCAGTACACAGCCTCTGTTGTTATACAACCTTTTGTGAGTTATTGTTTTGATGTAAGAAAAATTTATCTCTGAACTAAAAGAATGACTTTGTTTCTTGTTTCAGGACAAAACTGAGCAATGAATCAATGCAAACTGACTTTTGTGAGAGTGTATCTGTGTACTGAAAATGAAGCTATACATTACATGGATTTCTACGACAGAGATAAAAGTGCAACTCGCTCCATCATTACCTGTCCACAGCGATGGCCAGGAGGCTACACATTGACGCAACCACAGAGATGCAGATCATAGAGTCGAACACATTGTCCATCTGCCTGATGAAGTGATCCTCCACCACCAGCTGTCTGTTGTTTAGGAGGTAAATGATGATTGTCTCCCAGGCGTTGGACACACTTACCAGCATGTCTGCTACTGCCAGGCTGCAACAACCAAACAGGTTAGGTTACGCTTCATCATAATCACAGATGGTCACAAATCTGCATTCTGTTTTTGTACTTTCTCCCCATGAGTCCAAGATCTGTAGCTGTTCTAGCCTCATCCCCCGGGAAGATGCCACATTCATGTCACAGTGGAAAACAACAACCAGCAGGCAGAAATGAGGCCCAGGTATTGTCTTGACAATAAATTTAACACCTAAACATTTAGAAACAGAGAAACATACTTTATTTTACTATTATTTAACCAACATTCTTAAAGGGTGACACCTTGACAGAAATGTACAACAAAAAAACAAACAAGACTTTGCCACACCAGCAGGTCTTTGTGGCTCTTCTTGTGCTTTGACCTAAATGCTAACGTCTTCATGGCATCATGGTCTTATTTTAGGATGTTGGCTTACAGATCTACATCAACTTACTATTAACTCACGTGCCATAGAAAAGAGTACGCCCTGGAAAATTTGGCAACAATATGCAATAAACCTGCATGTTTTTGTTCTGTGACCCGGAGGAAACTTGTGCAGGCATTTGATAAATAGCAACGCAATTTAAATTTTGACTTCACGATGGCACTAGGTAAAAGTGAGAAGATCATCAAAGTTATCAGGACTCATTCTCCGGGGAATGTGAATGTCTGTACTAAATGTCATGGCAACCCAGTAGCTGTTGAGATTTCACTCTGAAACAAAAATGTTTCTCATGATGCCTCTAGAGAAGATGAGCAACAAATGTACTGTATTTATTTATAATATAATATATGGTATTGTTTTGTCTTTTTTCCCATTAAATAAAATACATTTTCAAAGAAAACATAGCAATGTTCTCATCCCACAGTGACCCTATCTGTCCGAAACACCAAAGAAATCATTCAAAACCACATCAAAGCGGTGATCTGAATGTCTGCTCTTTAGCTTTGGCCTTGTATCACGTCTTTACTAAACTAAAGTGTCTCCCATTGTTCAAGCATATTTTATACATATATTTTTCACTGCCATGCTATGTTTAACTTCTAGATTATGGCTTATTGTTTGGATGACACAGGTAATGTCAAGTAATTCAGACAAAAACCTGAAAGATACTGCAGTTGTGCTGCTTTGCTCAATTTGTTTGACAGTGATTTCTGTAAGACACTGACTTGTGACTTGTGTGGGATTCTAGTCCAATTTTCATCCATGTGACATTATTTGTATCTAAGTGCTTATTGTTACCCTCAAAATGCATTAATATGCATAGACCGTAGACACGCTCTACAGCCCCACACTGGCTCATTTTCTCTCTTTCTTTAGCTTTGGTCTTGGGGGAGGGGATTCAATCTTTCAAGTCACAAGATCCAAATGAAGCCACAAGTAATTGGTGTTAATGTCAAAATTGAGTTGCAGGGAATTACTTGATTCTGTCAAATTGAGTAATCAAATTTGTGAGTTGACTCTGATACCAAGTCTAATCCATGTCATGTTTCATGAGTCCACTGAGTCTGCATGGAGGAATTACATTCACACATGGGATAAGCAGGTAGATCAAAGTGAGTTTCCATCAACTACAATTATGTAATTTCTCTGAGCGGGGTAGATTATAAGATCAAAAGACTGTGTTTTATAACTTTAGGTTCACCATGATATTTTATTAATTTACCTTTAATACATGTTTTTTATCAGTTTCATGATTGTATTTGTTTCCTCTGGCAGCGCACATACTGTGTAATATTTTCGTGGGGGGAAATAATAAGCAGACACACATCCTACATCATCATTTATTTAAAAATGTGTTGCTGTCAAGTTCAAGATGCACAAATCTTCACGTTTATGAATTATGCACACTTTGCCACTTCAGGCCAGTGTTAAAAAAAAACTGTTGCGTACAGCTTTTTATTTTAATAGGTGATATTATCATTCAGGTCTTCTGCGGTTCAAGATTTGCATAAAACAGGTGGTTGTAAAATTTAAACTCTTCATCTCCTGTTAACACAAGTCTCTGACACAGCCTCCACTGCCCCCCACACACATAGAAACAAACTCTTCCTGCTCTCATCACCTTAAAGTCCCACTTTCACAACAGGAAAGCTAATTAAACCTGTGATCTGGAACAAGTCTTACAGTGAACACTTTTTTCTTTGCTTCAGAATGTGTCATATTTTTATTAAGCTAAAGCTTTTCTCCTTTTGCTCTATTATGTTTTATACACTCATTTTTCACTGTCATGCTGTGTCTAACTTTTAGATTATGGCTTACTGTTTGGATGAACTTGAGTAATGAGTGTTAGAACACAGATAACAGTAGTCAGGTAATTTAACGATTTCAAGAAGACAGTGAAGTTCCATTTATGTGACATTGTTTCCTAAGTGATTATTGTTACTCTCAAAATGCATTAAAATGCATAGACTTATACTTTAGTCTTACAAATGTTTTCAGGAGAGCATGCCCCCAAACCTCCTTACTTTTGAAAACCTGGCTCTGGCCCAGTTTTCTTTCTTTCTTTTGATCCGCTCTCGCTCTCTCTTTTGAAATGGCAAAAGTCATGCAGCTCCATATCATTTCAAAAACAGTCCAAAAATGTATCAATCATTAAGACCCATTTTGAGAGAATTTTATTAAGAATTTGTTCATTAACAAGAGTCTGTACTGGGCACAGCAGTGCTTTGAGATAAATACTAATGTCAGCATCCTAACAAATGTTTATGATCTTTAGCGGGTACAATGTTTACCATGGTCTATTGGCCACTGCGCTCCTCCAACGAACGCCGCCTGGCTCTGCCATCCCTACACACAAAGCAATCTCAGTTGTTCTCATCTGTGACACCACAAAGGTGGAACAAGCTACCACACGCCATCAGAGCAGAGGCGCCCCTCTCTAACTTCAAGAAGCTCTTGAAAACTCATCTCTTCCAACAACCCTTTCTTATAACACCTCTGACTCCTAACCTCTAACCTGCACTTCCTGTGCTCTTCTTGTTCTGTCCCCTTACAATTCTCTGGTATTGATTGCACTATTTCGTCAACTCTTACTTCTTTCCCTAGCTATTTACCCCATTGATTCCATACGTGCAAGCTCTTAGTAGTATTTATTGCTGCTCTTACTAGTATCTATTGTCAGTCATCACACATCTGATATTAATTGAATTATATATATATATATATATATATAATACGAGCTGTCTGTTAACGACAATTCTCACACTAAATGCAAAACAGCTGCATGGCTAACAAACAAGCTAACAGCAGCTGCAGTTAGTCCCATATCCCTAGTAACTTATGTGTTACAAGACAAAAGGTCCATGTTGCAACCGCCCCTCTAGTGCTGCACTGGCCCCAACAACAAGGCACCGCTCCAAATGGATTTTGAGTGGGGGGTTTTTCTGCTATTAACCGGCCAAATAAAACTTGGTCGACTATTAGGGGGCAGCCCTGCTAAAGACACAGTACATCTGAGGCTGATGAGAATGTATTGGGACAAATGAAAACTTTGACCTCTATTATCATCTACAAAGCCACACTGCAAGTGTGGCTCAAAGTTACTTAAAAAAATCAACAGCAGTAGATGTGGGTCCAAGGATGCTAAGAGGGGAATCAGCTGAGCTATGCTTGATTTGGTGATTGTTGGAACAGTGGAAAGAGTTTACAATGAGTTAACAAGGCAATCAGTTTGGTGAGCGAGAGAAACTTGAATTCAGAAGGTGTACGATTGTGTTTTTCTGTTTGATAAGGAAAATGGGAGATTAGAATAAGAATATTTCCTTACTTGACTTTTTGTGCATTTATTTAGTTGATTTATTAGACTTAAAAAGTCCCTTTTCACCTCTCGCACATTAGATATCTCTGCAACACAATACATAGATGTCTTTGACAGAACGTCACAACTGTTCCTTCTTCACATTCTGTAGTTTTAAACTAAATTTCTGGCCATATCTTAACAATGTACTTCAAAGGAGTTCTTACATGGTGCATAATCCTAAATTCATTTGTATTACGGTATTACATACACAATGCACAAAGGGTGGGAGAAACAGGGGGTTCACTAAGGGCCCACAGCTCATTTTTTATTAAAAATAAAAAGATGATACACACTGAACAGTGGCACTGGCAGTTTAAAAGACTACTGCTTTGCTAATCCTTCAGCCCTGTAAAAAATAGGGAACATGCACAAGCATGGAAAACTCAATATATTAAATCAATATTTTATGTTGTGTGCTGAGTCACCTGCAGACGAAGAAGTACATTGGTGAGTGGAGATTCTTGTTCTTCACTATGGCGGTGATTACCAGGATGTTCTCCAGCAGGGAGATGATACCCAGGATTAGAAAGACCTGAGTATAATACAGTGTAACAGAGAAGAATGGAAGAGTGAACTACGTAGTCTAAAATGGGGTAAACTATGGCTCCCAATGTAAGCTTGTGGCCCCCCCCCAAAGGGTTACAAGATAAAACTGAGTGATTACAGGATGAATAACAAGACAGGGAAGAGGGAGGTAAAACACTACTGCAAAATTGTTTGTTTTTTCTCCAAGAAATACAGGAGCATTTTAAAACTACAATGAATCTATGTGAGAAATGGACTAGCGGAGTATAGTATTTCATTAAGAGAGCAAAAAAAGAGTATTAAAAAACAGAATAGTTTAGATTAACATTTAAAAACATAACAAAAGTTCATACCTCCACAGCGATGTGGACCTGCTCGCATGCTGCAGGTTTGGAAGTGCTCGTCTTGTCTGGTAGTAGCGGAGGGGGCAGGGTGTAGTTTTGGTGATAGTAGGAGTAAGCCCAGGTGGAGTTACCCAGAAGCACCTCCTTGTGATAGGAGGACTCATCAGACACATTCATCCCTGCTATGGTTTTGGTCCAGATCACTGTGGCTTTATTTTGGTTGCCATTTTTCAAGCAGGCTGCAAAGGAAAACAAATACAGTGATGATTGCCGGGTAATATGTAAATTATTGCCCAATCTTAAGTTTCTTTTTGATCATGTGACAAGACAACAATACTCCAGATACCGGGTGAAACGCAAAATCTGACAAGTAGATTAGCAGAGCACAGGTGCAAGCTAAGCAGTCATGCTAGTCAAACATAAAAGTTGTTTCAAGAAGAGACGGGAGAGATGAGAACCGGAGGAGAGGGCCGCAAAGCTCCCCAATAAGATTGTTTTGGATTACTGAGGACATTGTCAAAGAATTCGCTCAATGCAGGCTCGTCTGATGCCTTTCAAATCGGTGATTTACTTTACTTTGCATTTTCAGTGCATTTCGCGTGGCTGCCGCGCTGTTTTGAAGGCTGTTATCATTTCGGAGACAGCTCGCCACTGAGTAGGCCTACCTGTTCAATTGTGTGGACGTGCTTGTGGGTATTAAACTGTGTGCGTGCGCTGTAGCTGGCCTGTTTTCAGAACATGGTGTTGTGTTATGAGCAGGCCACTTTTCTTTTTTATTCACCACAATGTCTTGCCTCTCTGTCGAAAAGGAATGTGGTTGTCGAGATTCAGGAGATTATTGTTCTGAAATTGCCCAAAAAACTCTGTGTGGACACCTCCTGCACTCAGCTGTTTGTGGTGAGGTTTCAGGATTTTGACAATAACAGCACTGGCCGTGCTCCTTATAACGTTCTCTTTGACTTCTGTACTTTGCAAATACAAAAGTCTCGGAGACACAGTCCGACTCTAAAATCTGCAAAACACAGCAGCAGCAGCGTGTGTGTGTGTTGGAGAGAGACGCACACAAAGAGAACTGTTGAATTGAATGTGTTAATATGGAAAGAAATCAATTTAAGGAGCTTTAAATTAGGTATTTACTGCATCTAATCTTATCAGTTGTTAAACCCTGGCAAAACAAGGAAACAAGGCACATAAATTTGCCAATAAAGGGTTCCCTTCTAGACACGAACGCAGTGTGTGTGGGCCCATCAACAGCCTGCACTGGGGCCCATTGTTACAACCTTACGCCACTGCTGGTAGCTACATATTTACCATACAAACTTATCTAGTCTCCAGAGGTAGATCTTCTCATTTACTTGTCACCTAACACTTTAAGACTAGACAGGTCCTGTGTTACATACTCCTTTTACATTGATTTACAACAGCGTTATGTTTACACAAGAACCCATTTTATTTTTATTCAACCTTTATTTAACCAGGAAGTCCCTTGAGATTGAAATCTCTTTTCCGACTGAGACATGATAGAAATCAAACACAATCAAAACAAACAAACATCACTTATTAAAGAAAGGGACTAATCCAGGTCACATGAGGTTAGTTACATGGAATTTTACTATGGCTTTAAATTCATTTGGTGGGACTAGATCATTTTAATGTATTAAGACCAGGAAGCAAAGTGAGAGAATGCTTTTTTTCCCAACTCAGCCTGGTGGAACGGAGATGACAAAAGTGCTGGAATTTTACGTCAGGGGATTATATAAATTACCCAGCATGGCCTCGTAAACAAAATGTGTACAAATCAGTCATCCTAAAATTAGTCACACTGTTGAACTGGATTAGGTCCAAAGAGTTTTGTTACCAGCGGATCACTGGTCAGTTGTTTTCGTAAGGGCTGGGAAAATGAGAAATTTCTGGGGAAATCAGTCCCAGTCGTCAAAAGATGACATTCATAATATGTCAGTGAGATAAATTTAGTGTGACCAAACAAAATGACACTGAAGGTTGTTTTGAACATTCCACTTTGGTTATGAAACAAAAGGGACGAGGAGCTTTGATGTTACACTCCCACGGCAAGTGAATGGGACACAAGAAAGCCTCAGTGTTAAGATCCTGTCCTCAGCTGATGAGATGTGATGAGAGCGGATCTGAGAAATGGAGCTTCAACTCTTCCCTGCAGGCAAGTGCTTCCCCTGTTTCTTCACTCGTGACCTGACTAATGGGCCCTCCAGTGATGTCAAATGACACTTTCTGAGTTGCTTATACATTTGCACAGAGGTAATATAAACTCTTCACTCTCTCACTCCAGAGTCATGTGGTGCATGAGGCAGTTACGAGGCGAGAGCTGCTGCCAAGAAGCATAAAGAAAACTGATAAAGAAAACGCCTAGATACTGAAGCAAACAAATTCATGACAAAATAAAACCCTTCAACCTAAGTTAAGCGATAAAAACTTTATTTTCTTTATTATGGCCACCATAACCCCTGTTTGGACTGCAGTCTGTCTCATTTCAGCAGAATGCTATTATCCAAATCCCATTACAATGTGACACTGTGAGCTTAGCGGATACAGTAATTAACCTTTGCTGCAGGGCTAAATGAAAAACCATGCCAGTTATGTTTGAGTAGTTAAGACATTTACTGCTGTCATTTATGAATACAACAATTGAAGGAAATATGAATGATAACAGCATAACTGGAATTTAATTTCTCCAGTACTCATTAAGAAAGCAGTTCTCTTAAGCTGTTCAAAGACAAGAAGCAATTACTGTGACTAAAATGTCTAATTTATGCTGGAATTATTCAATTTATTTATTTATTTTATTTAATTGCCTTTTAATTCTGCCAAAATTATTAAAATCCCAGTGGCCGGAGCAATGATATTTCAGTTATTTACTTTATACGGTAAATAATTATACAAGTCTTTTCAGAGCATATTAATTGTTTACATTTCTCACATCAGATTATTATCTATTAATATCAGTATCATATGATATTCTTCCCAAATATACAGAAGGTGTTAATAAGATCTCTCTAACCTGTTGCATGGCTGAAAATGTGTATATTTAATATCCAACGTGTTGATATTTCCCATATTGAATCCTGCATGAGAGCAGGAGAGAACATCTACCAAACCCACACACATTGATGGAATTATATGTAGGGAATAACTATTATTGGGAAAAATTTGGAGTTCTTTCTATAAAATAGAGGACATTTAAACAGGTGTTACATTGTGCTGTAATTCAGTCTGGATTAGATATCTAGATCTAGACATAGAGCACAAGTTCACAAGATGCTTTGTAAAAGTGAGACCAAACGGTTCTGTGTGGGTTCAGGGACAATCCAGATTGCTTTAATGATTAAAAGCGTCAACCTGAGGTACATGGGAGCTCCATGGTATGAGGGGGCCCTTGTGTACAGGGGTCTATGATAGTGATGTGTTGGTCCGATTAGGCCCCCTTCCCCATTCCTCCATCCCGCGCAAAAAGAAATGCATGACAATGATAAAATTACTCTTTTTAACAGACAGGCTCTCAGGTTCTTTCTTCATATGTGCAAAAATCATACCAATTTATTTGAAATATACAGTATACCTAAATGAAGAGCTGTTCGGGAGCCAAAGACCATTAATAACATGAACCTGAAGGTAACAGGGCACGTTAAGGATTCCTTGATCATTTCTTTTTTGATCCTGATTGGAGTCCTTTTATATTATTATTATTATATTTATTATTATATATATATATATATATTTTTTTTTTATATATATATCTTCTACTTAAAATACAGTGAGCCTACATTAAAATTAGGAGCAACTTCAATGTGACAGCTGGGCAGCTGCTTTTCCTATTATATTTTGTAAAGCGCCCCATAACAGTAGTTCTAGGGTTTCTTGTGTCCCAGCTTTTGCAACAGCTGGGAATACATGAATAGTGGAATAGCTGAGCTAATTTGAAAAAATAGAAATTATGATTTGGTTAAAGGAAAATATATATATACAACCCTGTGTCCTATAAATTATGTTTATATAAAACTAATTTGCAACAGCAAATGCATTTTGAGAGAAACTTAATGCCGCCTTACATTTTCTTTTAATAAAGAGGAAATGTTGTTAATTGATAAAAATGTTGATACAGAACAGAAAATAAAATGTTCATTCACATCTTGCAATATAATCTGCTCGAAGTGACTACAAGATTATTACATTTTTAAAGTTATGTTTAGACACTCGCAGCAGTCTGCAGAGCCATGATGCATTAATTAACATTTAACTGAAAACAAAAAAGTCTTTCTTACCTTAACCAAACCTTTTGTTGCCTAAACCACAGACAGTCGCTTTCTACAGCCACCATCCACCCCGACCATCTCTCTGACTTTGGTGCCATATGTAAATGTAGCATTTCATTCAATCGAAAGTAAGGGGAAGTAATCGAGCTAGATTCTGTTCGCTCCATATTTGCTGCAATATCTATTATAATATTACAATTAATAGTGTTAATTAGCATCTACTTAAATTACTATTAAAGAGAACATATTGAACATTATGGGTGTTCACCCATACATTTTCATCTGACAGAGCTATAAGGAAAAAGGTCTGGGACATAAATAAAATACTATATGGCAGTCCCCATAGCATTTTATATAACATCTATGGAAAGAGAGGTTCAGTGTTGGCAGGAGGCTTTGGGGAGGTTTGAATCCCCTCCAGTAACATTTTGAAATCATTTTATTTTAAAATGGCTTAATGTGGAGTCTTTTTCTTGTGGTTTCAACAGTTGTAACAAAAGGACCTGGCAAATTGTGAAAGAGTCTTTTATTCTAAAATTGTCCTCCACGCCAATTACTTTCAGGATCAAGGCTCCGCAAGAAAACCTCTCCCGGATTTCCTGAATTCTTTTGTTTGAAATCTTGCCTCACACTGCAGAAGATAGTAGCTCTTAGTTTTAATGGAAACCTCAAACTACTTGAAAATCTATCAGCAGGCATTTTTCTGTTAGCTGAGGAGTCAACAGCCTGGGCCCAGGGTGACTCATTAATAAGAGAAATAAAAACCCGGAGGACCTTTCATCTGCTTACAATGCAAACATGCTTTCTGAAAATACTTCTTCATTCAATTCATGTAGAGGTTGTAGCCACCTGCAATACCCTGCTGTGATGTGTTCACCTGCAGGTATCTGTTCCCTGCAGCTCTGTTCTGACTTGTGTTGCCGTTTGAAGGTGTGAAGACAGAGCAAGTGATGTGTGGCTGATGTGATTCAAAGATGTAAGTCATTTTACTATGAAAATTATGCTCTCAGTAATGATCGGCACACAATTACGTACCTAACCACCCTGCACTCAATCGCTACTCGCCCCCCTTCTGGTGTTCACCTGAAATTAAGCTGTAATATCGGTGAATGCGCGACTGATTGTGTGTTCATGTTAACACACCTGCTGCAATCACACCTCCCCTGAGAATTCAGCCGCTGTGATCCCGAGCTCCCTGTCTGCCTGTCTCCATCTCTTTATCATCTTGTCTTTGCCTCTGTGTTACGCCTCTCTCAGGCCCACTCCACCTTTTTGGACTCCCTCCCTCTCTGTGGCGCCAGTCCCAGGGGGTCGATTTTTCACTGGGATCTTGTGCTACTGTCACAGAACAAAATGCAAGACCCACTCTGCCTTGATCACAACATCAAAAGAGACATCTTGAAGCTTCTTTGTTGACAGCTAATAATCGTCCTACTTCAAAATCCCAGTGTGGATGCACACCACCCATAGTGTTAACTAAAAAGATGATTTTTAGAGCCTCTCTGTCGACATGTGAGACCAAATAAAGCTTATTTGGATGTAAGAGCTTATATAAGCACTCGCTCAGCCCACACATGCAGACTTTATGTTACTGTGAATGGAAAGGCTCACATCGTGGGATAAAACAGAATACATGAACGGCTATAAAAATTCTCAGCATTTTTTGTGTGTGTGTGTGGGGGGGGGGTTAGGGTTTTTTCAGTATTCATTCGGGAAATGAAATCAGTGTTTTCTGAAGTGGAAGATTGTGTAAGATGTGTTCCACAGTCTTTATTATTCATTCAGAGAGCAGGACAACATTAATTATGCACAGTGCAACAAGTATAATTAAATCTAATCACATGGAGATGGTAATCACAACAAAACAACAACCTGAGAGCCTGCATGTTTGCACATGTACCACAATACAGTGTATAAAAGGAAATGACGTAACTGCTGTATATTTACCCAACAAACAGGCTGGTTTATAGCACAGTCAAATTCTGGAGCTAAAATTAAACATTGTATTATATTACATTATAGTATTAACACTGCAATGCTCTCCCTTCTGGTCTAGCTATAAATAAGCAGCAGATCATTCAGAATGCAGCAGCACGTGTACTGAGTAAGTCCAGAGGGAGAGCACACATCTCACCTGTCCTAACATTGGTTGGCACTGGCCTTTTAGTTGTTCCCTGGGTGAGGACAAAGAACTACGGGGAGGCGGCATTTAGAGCCTATGGTCCTCGCCTCTGGAACCGCCTGCCAGAGTTGCTGAGGGGGAACCCAATCTGTAAACACCTTTTTTAGTTTAGTTCATTTTATTTTAATATCCATTGGTCTCGCTCTTCTAACATGTTTCTTATTTACTATATTATCATTTCCTTATGTTACCATTTATTTTTACCGTGTTATTATTTCATTGTGTTGTTGAACCACTGTGTTCACCAACAGCACCAAGTGCCCCTTTTCATGATTTTGACATGACTGCTACTTTTAAGTCCCAAAACTGACTGTGTGTACTATAATATTATCAGACAAATCGAAAATATAAAAACTTTTACTTCCAATCATTTAAGTCTGTTTAGCTGGAAAGAGTTTTTCTTAACCACCAATTATTTGCTTAAGTTAAATTAAAACTTTATTGATTTAATTGTCCTATTAAACTTTTCCCCCATGTAACATTTCTCATTTTCCTCACCACATTTTCAGTTTTCCTGTTTTTTATATGATAATAATAAGAAATATAATACTGTAATAACAGCTAAAGCACTTTAGCCAGGAAGCTAATGCTATAAAAGGAAGCTAGTTAACTTAGACCTTTTTAGTTTACCATCCAAGTCTTATTTCCAGTGTGGTCCTATATGACGATGAAGAGACAAGCACTGGAAATTTAAAATAAAGTAATGAAGGCATATGGTGTCAAGTAAGTAGCGTGAGCTAGATAATGTTGTTAACTTGCCGGATAAAAAGCTTTTGCTGCTGTTACAGGAGTGATGCTACAACAATAGTATATGGATTATTAACGCTGTTTTATGTACATTCATTAGCTTGTGTAGTTTAATAGAGAATGTTAGTGGTAGCAAGCTGAAAAGGCTGGTTGGCCATGTTCTAAGCTATTAATATTGTCATGTGAGCTTGCCAGCCACACTGTGCTCTTGATTTCTTGTGTTACACACATATACAGGTTTTAATTTATTGATCAACTGATTGGTGCAAAAGTATAAATTCTTTTTTTACCAATTGAGTATAAATCTTTAAATTGTAAAGGACAGTCGTGCAGAATGCCGTTCGTCCGTCAGGATTTGAAAGAATTAGAGAGCTGCTCCTGCTGAGCCTCGTCTCGCTCTGATCTGCGTGGACAGCACCAGCGGAGGCTCAGCCACCAAAACAAACTGAGCACAGCAATCAGATCTCAATCTGCAGCTGATCTCATGATGTGACTGACTACAATGACACGGACAGAAGCAAAACATGGTGGTCATGAGCACTTCTTTGAAGGTTGCCATGGCTACACTATCACAAACATAGTGTTAAATGTCATTTTTTCTCCCAGACATCCCTGAAAAATAACAGCATTATCACCATTCAAGTCATGATCAAGCTTTTTTGGCTTATGGTCGCAGCGAGTCTAATGGTAATCACCAGATGCACTACGAAGATTATTTAAATGTGCAAAACAGTTGGCAATATTTACCAGCCTATAATATTGTTAGACATATGTTGGTGATAATCAACAGGAGATTTAAACAGAAAAATATAATGCAATCATGCGTGCAACAGAAATGCTTTTATTATCTTTAATTCATCTAATCATTGATTCCCATATCATATACACCCAATCATTTGCATGTACTGTAGTTATATTAAGATCACATTCATTCTTTTTGACATGGGTGTGTCCCTGAGACAGGCTGCCAGACACGGTGCAGTTTAAAGACAAAGGTATTACACAGGAACAATTCTGTTTCAACTGTGGTACTGAAATTTCTTAAATTAAACAGCTTCAATGCCACAGCATAAAAAATAAAAATAGTAAATCTAGCAGTGATTATTATATATAGAAATGTCCACGTTTCCACAGAAATATAACAAAATATGAGAATAGGAGTTCACAATATGGATATGATTAATGCAATCTTATATCACGCTACATGATATGGCATGGATTTAAATATCTGACACAGTAAGGTACTTCATCACATTTATGCAAAACAATTTGAAAAAACATTCAAAGATTGTATTGTCGTAAAGTAGGCCTGCTCATTTACTTTTCACCATAGCTTAAAATTACCTACTATATTCAGAGATGTTGAAGAGACAGTTACCTCGGTACAAACTGCACATAAAAATATTTGTCAGTTAACAAATTTACATTGATTCCCAATGTACATCATTATATCACCCACCCCTGCTAGGGACCCACATCGAGAACCGATGCCGGTGCATGCATGTTCTATGGACCAGCAGTTTTCCAATTATGTTCTGTCAAAGCCATCCGAGCCTGTTGAGTCACCATTTACATGAGCTTTAATAAAATGGCTTTGCACACACACACCTCTCCCTCTGCAGTTGTCAACAAGAACCATACAGAGGAGATGACGTGAACTTGTCGCTATACAAACCAAATAATAGAACAGAAAATAACTCTTCACTTTTTTTTGGAGATGTGTTTATCTGGAACCAGATTCAGGTCACTCAGTAGAAGGGCAGCTCTTTGTCTCACACTGCTCACTGCTGCTGCTTTGCCACTGTGGTGACTAATCTTTGTGAGGAAATGCTATCTTCTCCAGACAATTATTACAGCTACTATGGGAATGAACAAACAGAGCTTTGCCTGCAGAGTGAGGAGGGTCTATTAAGTTTTCTTAATGCTAATAAATCAGTCAGATCTCCCAGGTTTCACTGTGTTGCCAATTTGCTCATTGTGCCACACAGTGTGACCAATGTGCTGACATAAAATATGCTTTAACTGCCACCAGCTAACAGGCAGTGCTTTGCTGGAATACACCTTCTGTACAGTATTTTTCCACCATATATTGGATGAGTGATGTGTAATTCTGATTAATCCAGGGCTGTAGTAATTTCTGCTAAAGTGAATGCACATCTGGCAGGATGCCATGAGACTGTGCAGCATCTGGACCTCTCTGTGTTTGTGTTTCCATAGGAAGTAGCAAAGCAGCTCAAAGGGAGGTTCTATTTAAATGAGCCTTTATCTGCGCTGTGAAATCAATCCTGCACATTTTACCACAAGTGATAACAGAATTAATGCATATCACCACTGTGGCGTTATTTCTCAACAAACATCAGCTGTTGACCAAGTCGCTTGTTTCTGTCAGTTGTTTGTTTTGAAAGCACATGCTGCACAGCTTTTAGTCCATTAAAGACCAAACTATGACCAAACAGTTTTATACATCATGTGAACTGAATATGATGATATGAAACTATTGGTGGTTGATGATGACATATAATAATGGTCAACCAGATGCCCCCAACAAAAAGTGGAAAATACCATCCAAATATCACACACATAAAAAACCTGCAGCTGCAACATGGTCAGTCATGTAACTCTCAAAATCCTGTAAATTCATTGCAAACTCTGCACTTAACACAACAGACAAACATGGAATGTCCACATAAAATATAGTGACACCTCAGAGGACAAAATATTAACGTATGTATGATGATGTCACCATTAAATCACACACACTTGAGGTCCTCAAGTCTTGCCAATGTAATACCAGCTATTCTATAAGTGAGAGTTTTGACAACATGAATGTAAAAATGCAAAGACCACCAAGACGGTGGTGGCAAAAATTTGTCTGTTATGAGTAGGGAGACAGAGAAAATGAATGACTCACCTCACACAGGAGCTGTGACTCAAATCCTTCCCACAAGTGGCTCAGATGGACTGGATGGTGCCTCTGTGGAGCATCAAAGCAGTGGATTTACGCATCGTGAGAGTGGAGATGCTGAGCTGTGAGAGAGAGAGCCTGAGAGAAAGGGAGAGAGACAGAGCGAGAGAGACCGAGAGGGGAGAGAGAGGGAGAGAGGAACTCCCCCTCCAGATCTGACAGACTGGACACAACATGCAGCAACTACCATCTCCCTCACAGTGGGCTGAAGAAAGCAGCAGTCAAAAATGCAGAGCTTCCTCCATGTTGAAAAGATTGTCTGTGAGGCGCTCCATCTTACAAGAAATTAGCCCTTAGATGTGACTTTGTGCAGAATTTCAATCTACAGAACAGCGAAAAATATGACCAGCAGCAAGAGGAAACGTTTTGATACAACTTGGTGTTTTAGTTGGATAAACTCAGAAACACCAACAATTCCATATTAATACATTTGGTTCAACACACTGCAGCTACATAACTGATTTTTGAAAATATTTTTGCAGCATTATCACAGGTATCAAAGGCTGATTTGGAAGGGAGTAAATAAACAAAAACTACTGCTACTTTCAAAAAAGTTACTGAAAAAAGTATAACTGCATGTTGTTAAGAAGTCAAACTAAAACGGTGTGTATGAGTTCATATTGTAGCATAACCTCCCAGCATTTCATGGAGTAACAGACTCGTGGATATACATCTAAGTTGAATTTCATGTTCTTGCATTGTTATTGTGTTCTACATTATGTTCTACAATGTTTCCTCTCTCGCCACTGTTGGTATACAATGAGTTAACTATTAAAAGGCCAGCACAACATTCTCTTTATTTTATCAACAGTGAATCTGGTTAGATCATGAGTGATATTGTGTGCACAATTGGTGACATGCCCACAATGTGAAAGCACATAGTGCCGTAATTCAGGTGCAAGGATAGAGTGGCTATTATTCTGAGCATTGGTGGCAGAAACCTTGGCCCATATCCACAGTCAGGATATTAAATCTCAAATTATTTTTGATGAGCAGGCCAGAATAAACCATGCATGGTAGTGAATTACAGCTCTTTGAAGGGAGCTGGATCTCTTGGCACTGTTCTTTTACAAGAGTAGGATCTTTTGGCTCCCAAACATCTCTTCATTTAGCACCAATTAGTGATGTTCTTATTTGTTTCAAGAAATAAACATGCCAGATTCTTAATCTGCAATACAATAACAATTGTAATAAACAATATTCTGTCATACTGATGGTTAAAAAGTGTGATATGTCAAGAATAACTATCTTAGTTATAAAGTATGGTTGATTAATACGTACACAACTCCACACAGACACATAAAGTATATTTTATTAAATAGGTATGAAACAGCAGCTATGTTGGTAACAAATGATCTAATCATTGCCTTGCACATAAAGATGTTTGTTGATCTGTCCAAGGAATTTGACTTGGTGGACCATGAGCTGCTGTTAGGCAGACTCAGTGACGACATGGCTGTAGAGATGTTCAGGAACTACTTCACAGAAAGATTCAAGTGTGTATACACAGATGGTCACAAGATTTATGGAGATCTTTAAAGGAGTCCCCCCTAGGTTCAATTTAAGCCCCTGTCTTGTTTTCTGTGTTTATAAATAACATTGGGAAGTGCATATTTATGCAGATGATATAATCTAATGAATAATATAATATAGTCTAATGAGTTGCCTCTTCTCTGAGCCAGGCTTTTGATCCAGACTGCTTTTCATTGTATGGTCTAAAGATGGTTCTCAATGCTAAGAAAACTAAACTCATGATCTTTCCCAGAGCTCGCTTCCAGATCTCAGATAATGTTGGCATTTGTATCTTTGGAGGGGACTTAATTGAAAGAGTATCTTCCTTCAAGTCCGTGGGTATTTGGGCCGCTTTTAGAGCATATTGAGAACCTAGTGAAGAAACTGAAGGTTAGGCTGGGGTTTTAGCCTGCCTTAGTGTAACAATTAGGAAAACTCTTGTACAGGCTACCTTCGTAAATGTTCTTGACTATGGCGACATGATTACATGTATGTTGCCTTCTCTGTACTTCACTGCCTAGACTGTGTGTGTCACAGTAATCAACGTTTTGTATCCACCTCATTTTCTCATACACATACCTGTGCACTTTATGATCTGGTCTCCTGTTTTTATTTATACAGATAGACACATGTAAGAAACTGAAGAGTGCAATTGCTATTCCTAACCAGGATTTTGCATTATGTGTCTGTTGTCACATGTCTGTTTTTGAATATATTTGATCATTTTTGTAACCTCATAATAGTGTTGGCCAGGTCTCCCTCAATGAAAGATATTTTAATCTCGAGGGACTTCCTAATTAAATAAAGGCTAAATAAAAATATATTGTGGTCTAAAGCTTTCCCATCTCTAGTAAAATGATTTGCTTTGACTTTTTAAAAATCTGTTGGAGTTAGATGAATGTAATCATGTTGATTCAACTTGAAAACATTTTGAGGGAATAATTAATTTATTTTAATTTGTCAGTGTACCTGGTCAGCAATCATGTTTTTAACATATGATCTAAAATGATCTTAAGATAAGTCCTTAGTATGACCCTACTACCTACAACAATAAAAGTCCTTCTTATAGAAAATTACTGATTTAATATGACGTGTGAGCACCCATAATAGAAAGGTGTTTTTTTTATCCATTTTTTTTGTCCATAGAAGAGCCTAATTCCCATGATGCAATTTGATTGCATCTTTTCATTCATCCTTTTATCTAACAACCCTGTTTATCAGACTCCACACCTCCAGTTTGTAACAACTGTAATGACATCACTATGACATCTCTCAGGTTATTTTTGTACGACTTGACAAAGCTCCTCGACAGCCACTGAGGATGCAGCTGTTTTCACAGACTGTGTGGTTTTCCTCGGGACTAGTAAACTAACTTTGATGTGCAAAACAGGTGGCATGCCTCGTGACAGTGTTTTGTTCTATCTTAGAGCACTTTACATAACCGGCATTGCTGTCATGTTTTGGTTGGCTGTTGCTTTGTTTTTCTTTGGCTTCCTAATGAGCCTTTGCATGATCAACAGGAAAAGGAAATATCCCACCCTCAGTATAACCAAGGTGGTGAAACTACACTATATGTTCCTTATCTAAATACACAATATGCCAGACGTGTTCAGTCTTTGGATGGTGGAACAATGTGAACCAACTCTAAACATTTTGTATTTCACAGCCGATAACAGCTTCACTCACCTGCTAAATGAAAATACCAGATCATCGCCTGCTGGTACAATCCGTACCTAAATTCCAGGGAAGTATATATACAATACTGTGCGAAAGTTTAAGCTGCGGAAAAAGTGCTGTTATGTAAGAATGCTTTCAATAATAGACACGTTAATATACTATATTTATCAATTAACAAAATGCAAAGTGGGTGAAGAAAGAAAAATCTAAATCAATATCTGGTGTGACCACCCCCTGCCGTCAAAACAGCATCAATTCTTCTAGGTACACTTGCACATAGTTTTTGAAGGAACTTGGCAGGTAGGTCGGCTCAGACATCTTTGAGAACTCCCCACAGTTCTTCTGTGGATTTAAGCAGCCTCAGGTTTCAGTGTTTTGTGCTATAAACTAATTAACCAACAAACTGGCAGTTCAAAGTAATGTCTCTGAAGCAATTGGCTTGATTGTGTCTTTTTTTACCCTCCACATCTACCAAACAAGCTGCTTGTTTTTTTATCACCTACATGCAGCAAAGGAGGCTTTAAATATAAGCACAAAGACGCAAGGACATTACAAGTCTGCACAAATACAGTTCTATTCCAGAGAGTCACAACACAATTTTATTTCTTGTGCATAATTCTCTAACCTTTTTTCTAAATGTTTTTCTCTCTTTGCTTGTTTATGTGTTTTTTCGTTTGTTTGTTCTAAATCAAACAGTTCCTTCAGAAGCTCAATACATCTTGATTTTTTTTCCTGCTCGTTCTTCCTCTTCATTCATTAAATGTTAGTGCTCTTAGCTATAGCCTATTTGCTTTGAACGTGACAGTCTGGTTCTGTGTTTGCATTTCCTTGAGGGTGATCTATTTCACAAAGTACAAACATTACAGACAGATCAAAATGTGCTCTGTCTTCAGACTGAATGCAGTTCCTACACACACAGATCTTTAAAAAGCACTGCTATCACAGCCTAAGGTTGTCTCTAGTCAGAAAATGCAGCAATATTTCCTTCAACAGCAAAACTCCTGTGAAGATGCACAAATGTCACACTGTGACAGAACATACCAAGAAAAGATTCCCTTGTGGCTTCATGATGACAAAGGATGACATTCACTGTTAGCCTGTGTTGCCTAATTGCTTTGATTGATTGATCGTTTTCTTCATAATTACTTCACTCTCTTTGAGAGACACTTGATTCATTCCATCGTGTTTACTGATTAAACGCTGTACTCTGAGGTATTTTATTTAGCTGCACTCTACTCAAATTTTACTCAAGTTTTCACGCCACAAAACATATTTCGATTCACACTCATAATAGTAATGTTATTTATGGCAGGACTTTGCACTGAGTCTGCAGCCTTCAGCAACCTCTCCATTCCAAGAAAGGTCTGTTGAATACAGTATTGTTATCTATTGGGAAAGCAGTGGCTGCACCCACACAGTCTTTACTCAGTCATTAGCTTTAACCACAGTATATTAGTAGGAGAGGAGGCTGGACCACTGTATAGTGAATGTCCATGGTGGGTTAGGATTTGGATAAGAACCCTCCATGTGACATAACAAACAGAGTTTATGTGGTTAATACATCTGCATAAGTGTGCGTTTCTCCCTCGAATTCCAAGACATTCATTATACCAAATGAAAGATGCATTTGAGAGATTCTTATGGGAGGCTACATTAACCACGTTTGAGCAGAGTGGCAATTAGATGCAGGAGTTGTGAGTGCGGTCTCCAGCCAGACCTCCCACTAACTGTTTTTTTTTTTTAAAGTACTAAGCTTCAAAGAACCACTGGAGCAATTTAATTATCTAATAGCGGAGGAGACACGTTCATGGGTTTTTAAAAAATTTTCTCTGGCTTTTCAGTTAGTGAGCCATCAAACCTAATCTTCTCTTTGCATTTTGCATCACAGCAACAAAGCAAATGTCAGCACCTCTGCCATATGTTGCAATTTACCAGTAATGAAAAGTTCAATCTTATCTGGTCATTTTTCTTCTTTTTTTCTTTAATTCCCTTTTGCCCTTGAATTTCCTTTCTTGCCTCTCTGCTACTAATAGAAACATTTTATCTGTATCTGCTGTAGCAAAACAAAGTCAGGACAGCATTTTATTTTCTTCATGACGGCAAGATGTAGAAGATTCTGAACATGAAAGCAAAACAATATCAGTATATACACATAAATATATATACATGCATATTTTGAGCTTATAGAGGACTGTTTTAGACATTGTTCAACATTTTGGGTAATACACTCATTTTCATTATTTCCCAGAGTTAGATGAGGAGTTTGATTTGACTATCTGAAGATTGTTCGCTTAGCGCCCCAAGCAGTTGGGGGTTCAGGAGCTTGCTCAAGGCCTCCTTTGGCAGTACCCAGGAGGTGGACTGGCACCTCTCCAGCTACCAGTCCACGCTCCGCAACGCTGGTCCGAGCTGGATTCGAACTAGCGAGCCTCCGGTTCCCAGCCTATTCCTTACGGTCTGAGCTACTGCCGCCCCGTAAAGTTATTGAAAGAATTGTTTTGGTGTAAATAAAGTCAAAACTCTGCTGCTTGATTCTTTGCTAAGAATAGATCACTGCAGTTCTCACGTTTTTGTCGTCTTACTGCCTACTATAACTGTCAGGTATTTTTGCCACATTGACAATTTCGGTTTGTCAGTCGATCCGGACTGAAATATCTTAACTACTGGATTTACATCTTTAAGCCCTGGATATACTTGCTTTTAACTACGCATTCGCTAATATCCTTGTTTAAATTTGGGAAACGGACCAGCCTTAATTAACATGACTTACTGCTAAGTTATATATAAAATAAAGATGTGATCTCTTTTTGCAATTATCCTTATTATTTTACTTGCTGTGTACCAACCAATCCATACCTTTTTACCCGTTGAAATACCTTTTCTACTTGCAAGAAAGTGATTGCAGCCTCTGTTGACTGAAAGGTAGATTCTGCCTCAAAATGACTTGATTTCATTCATAACAGCATTACATTTTTACTGACATACTGACCACCAAAACAAAAATGTGCCCGGTTTTCATTTCAGAAATCTGATCGCCTTACCTCAACTGTACTGTGCTAATTAACAAATGTTATAATGCTTACATGATATGTCTTACATAAGGATTTAGCTCAGTACAGTTTCACAGAGCTGCTAGCAGGGCTCCAGACACATAATCTTGTTTACCCCAAATTAGGAGCAGAACAGTCTGCTAGCACCGTTATTGACCAATTACAAAAAAACAGAACAAGAACCCCTCTAGAAAAGAAGATTTTAATGATAAACCACATACTTGAGATATAGCATGGCAACCAGGACCTAAATCATTAACAATAACACAATAAATATATAGATGGTTATGATACATGATAACTTTTACCATTTAGAGGGACACTTAAAGCTTTTCTACTTTAAATACAAGACCAGGACAGGACTTAGCTCCAGTGTTTGGTTGCAAATGACCGCGATAACCAGAGGTTCTTTTGGTACAATAAAAAAAATAAAAAATGCTGTTTTAAACACTGATCAGTATAGGCAGCTTTTCTTATTTAGGTCTCATTACAATCTAATTAAATCTGGTGGTAATCCTTAATATTGACTGTAGAGGCACTCACTTACAGGCAGTGGTGTTTATCTGACACTTTAGAAACTTTCTATGTAACATTTAGTTAGATCGTTATCAGGGAAATCAAGAGAAGGAAGCGAACAAACATGTTCCTCTAAATGCTGCTGTAAACAAGCAGACCCAGAGGGGAAATAAAAAAAAACAGCACTGCAGTGGAGAGGCGCATTAATAAACATACCCACACTTTCTACTTGATAATACGGGGCATATTCTAATGAATTCCTTTAAAATGAATGTAGCAGTGTAAGCACAATGTGAGAATATAGTGAGTATGATTTGTATGCTGCTATGCTGTGTTTGTTATGCAAACCCACCCAGTTAAAGTAAGAAGTTTTGCAGTATTTTCTGCAACCCAGGAGTTTCCTCCATCTCCCTCTAGGAGCCCTGGACTTCTGACTCAAAACCAGCTTGGAGATACACCACGACCCACATGGACATTTAAATTAACTGTCAGAATATGTTGGACAATATGACATGGAAACCTCCAATGCCGTGTAATGATATTACTATCTAAAATATGAACACACAAACTGAATAAACACACAAAGAATCAACACTGTTTATTCTTTTTTGTTGGTAGTTTTATAGCAGTTTTTCTTCACTGAAACAAGTAAGAAAGAAGTCCTGCAAGTTAAATCTGAGATAATCAAAATACTTTGAGAGCTTTTAGTTTTACATTTCTGATATAACCAGACCTGCAAACTGAGCTAAACATTATCCTACTGCGCAAATCTAGATAACCTTTTCGTCTGCCCATGACTTCCACTTATGTTTTAACTTTAAGTGGGCTAGCAGCCTTAAATCCTCTCTAAAGCTCTGGTCCTCGTCACTGCAGAAATACTGCTACTGCCGGCAGCAGCGCTAAATGCATAAGGAGCTATTTCAGTGGTGTAAATTTAGAATCTAAATGTTGAGCACATGGTTCACAATGTCGCACGCTGATATATTGAGCGCCGGAAGATCAAAGTGCGAGCGCCTGAAAAGATGTGAGTGCAGATGAACATGTCAAGCACAAAGACACAGAACTGAGAGGTCAGAGGGAAAAAAAAAAAAAAAAAAAAAAGTGTGCTTACACAGTGGAGCTAAGCACATAGATTTAGTGTTGCGTGCTTTGAACTGCTCCCGGAGAGCTTCTTTCTGCATATTCAAAACGGGAGCGTATCTATGAGCCAAGGTCCTAACCCCCTAGCACTAGAACTGGGGAACAAAATGACCCTTTGTTGTGTTAATTTGGTAAACCTTAGGAGGAACCATGTTTATCACCTCCCCAGGCCAACATCCCACAGAGCTTAAGAATCTAAAGTGATGTAATTCGGATGCTTCACTTTTCCTTTGTTATTAACTTAAAGTAAGACAACAGCCACCTGCTAGCTGTGATGAAATGACGTTATAAACTGAGTCTACAGAAATGACAAGCAGCGGGCAGTAACCACACTGTGCCAGGCAACCCACTAAACTGAATGCATAACTGCTGTGCATAACAGCTGTGCACTGGCTGTCTGTGTGCATGTGTCTTTTTATGGCCCAATTTGGGTTTTGACTCCAGATGGTCAGTCTGGCATTGTCTGAGTCAGCAGCAGCGCTCCACATCTCCAAAACCATACTGAGGGCTTAAACGCTCCAGAGCAGTGGTTCCCAAACTTTTTTCAGCTAAAGACCCGAAAGAGGAATCTGGTGTCTCCCTGAGACCCAAATTTACAAAAATCATCTACAAACTATGGATGAAGGGCAAAACACCATGTCTACAAAATGCATTTGTGAATTGGAAAGTCCGATTCACACACACAAGTATGTTGTGACAAATTCAAATCAACACCTCTTGAAGGATTCTTCTTTGCAAAGAGATGTTTGGACTGTCCCCAAATACAGCGGATGTTGCGTTTGGAGATACCCGTCGTATTTAAAACCAAACCCTGAGAGCTTCTCCACATATTACACATTATACAGGGGTCTCCATTATTGGAGACCCAATAAAAAAGGGACTGCAACCCATTTTGGGAAACATGGCTCCAGAGCATAATTTAGTTAAAGTTCATGAGGACATGATGTCAGGATGAGGACCCTATGCATGTGTTCGCCTTAGGTCACCAGCTCACTATCGGAGAGCAAAATCAAGGACTGCATCCTCTAAAGTCAACATTTCAAGACTTGAGACCACAACTAGGGTATCCTTCACAGCCCTCTGCCTCCCATAATCCACTGAGTGCTGGCTGCTCTGTTGTAGGATGATGCTTTTATGCATGCTTGGCCTCTGCTGGCAAAACAAAATGGTAAACTTACTGAACAGTGGACACAATTGAGGAAAGGGCATTTTAGCAAAATGTAACATAATCAACTGGTTGCTGTCATTGCTAATAGATGCTCTTCTACTACTAATATTCAATTTATATAACACCAAATCACAACAACAGTTCTCTCACAGTGCTTTTCATAAGAGAGCAGGTCTAGACCGTACTTGTTATTTACAGAAGCCCTACTACTACTACTCCTCCTCTCCTAAGGCCTAGGGGTATCCTGGATGTAACAAATGTGTTGCTTCCCACTCTTCCCATTCTCAAGCAATGCCAGAACAAGAGGAAATACAATTTAGCAGTTTTTATTAGTTTCAGAGATAAGCAGTGCCCAAAACCACCAAAACATTAAGAAAACCTAGAACTTTCCTAAGCCAAAAACAAAGTAAAGAAGAGACAAAGCTCTAAACTAGGCTTCTAATCAAGAACAGGAGAAAAAGGGTGCAAACAAAAAAAAGGGCTTCTCACTCCTAACTGCTTGTAGCTGACACACAAAGAAAATTGCTACATAGTAAACAACATGGCTAAAGCCAACAAAACAAGGTTGTCATAAGACAATAATCAAAATTATTAAGGTAAACTACTTACAAAGTCTAATGTGCTCACTAGACAGGTTCTCTACTCACAATGGAAACAGGCAATACACACAGTACACAGGCTCATGTTGGGAACAGCACAGAGAGAGGAGAAGGCGTTATTGTCAGTGGGGTTTAAGATGGCTGCTGTCATCCAGGTGACCAATCAGGAGACAGCAATCAGCTCTGCAGCACCAATCCAGTGTGCCCACCTGTTCTCCATTACCAGTTTTTTATTCCTTTTTTAAACTTTACAAAACAAAACAGTAATATTATACGCCACCAGTTTAGACAGTTTATTGAGGTGTTTTAAAAACATGAGTCACACGTAAGTTATTAAGAATAAAAAAAAACATCATTGTTATTTCTGCTTCTTTGTCACTGTAAGAAAAGATACACCATATCTACTCAATAAAAATGAGGCAAAAGATTACAAGCAATATTATTAATTAAATTTCACAATGTTTGGTATTGAGTAAATACTTGAGAATAAATGTTCTCCATTTAATATGAGTAGATTCAAATAGAAAACAGAACTGAATTAATTATAACCTAAACAAAAAAATTTAGTTGATTTGAAAAAGGTAAACTCCCTAATGTGTAAATAGCACTAATAATATAAATTTTATTATATATATCAACAGTATTAATTATCTCCACATAAGGAACATAGCATGGGGGCAGCCGATCCAGGCCACCAGCTTGGTAGGGGACCCCCACATGGATGCAAATGTGTTGTGTCATTCAAAGAACGTTTCGTTCATAAGACCTAATCGTGTGTATGACTCGGGAGAAACGGGTCGTCTCAGTGACTGATTCTTTCATTTTCACACATGCGTGAAGGATCTTGGACTCTTACGTTCACTCGTCACACGGCAGCTGCATGGGCTCCGTCAGCACAGGAAACAGAATTGATTAGTTCACGACTCTCAACTGTGGGTCTGTTTGAGTCGTTCATTTGTCACGTGACAGCTCGGCTACAGGGCTGTGGTAAGCAGGAAGCACAGGAAACAGAATTGATTAGTTCACAACTCTCAACTGTGGGTCTCTAGGTCTGAGTCGTTCATTTGTCACGTGACAGCTCCTACTGTGGAGCAGGAATGAACTAATCGTTCACCGCTCACATGGGTCCTCCTCAGTCTTTCATTCACTCGGCAGGCTGAGTGACTGCCAGCGCCGGAGAATGAGAGGCAGGTCGTTCACAGCTCGTGACCTGTGAACGACCTGCAGTGTTTGAGAGCGATGTGCTCGTGTGTTTCTCTGGCTGCAGAATCTGGACCTGATGTGGGCCATTCTGCGTCCAGACCTGCCAAACTGCTGCATTTATATAATGTGTTAATATTTCTTTGTTCCTCTCTCTGTGCTGGAGTTCTTTTAAGAACTTGGTGGCTTGATCCAGATTATTATTAAATTGGTTGAATTTTAATAAGAGTGTGTTTGTTCATATAGTGTATCAAGCTTATTACTTCAATATATTTACTGCATATCTGATATTAATATTTTACTCATGGATAGGGACGTTAGGCTGCTGTATGAATGAGCACTTTAGAGATAATGATAGTAATTATATACATAAGCCTTTATATGGCTGGTCTGGTTGTATATAAAATGGAAGGATTTAGCCGGAGTAGTGGTTTTTACATGGTTTGAATTTGGTTATGGGCCCAGGGGGGTTTATATAATGATGACATACAGTAATCAAGAGGTGAATTTGTGCATTATACTTTGTCATATAAAGCAAGCCAGGCAGCCTTCCGTACTTGAGAATGGTGCTGTTTTTTAATCGCCCACTAGAGGGCTGCAGCGCCGCAACAAGCAGCCTAGTTCAAATGAACGAAATGAACGAAATGACTCAAAAAAAAAATTTGTTAATTTCAATGAGCGAGATTTGAATGAATGAGTCTGTCAAAAGACTCAATCTTGCCATCACTAGTAGACATGGCCATAAAAGAGAATTGCTTTTGATACATCAGTCAATGGTCAATGCAGCCGAACTTATCAAATAAAACAGGCACTTCACTCCTGCTTTCAATAGCAAACCATAGACTGCATAGAAAAAAAAAACAAGAATGACAAGAACAAAACACTGTATTCTATATTCTTTAAAAAAACATAATTCACAAAGTACATTTTGTATTTCAAATAAATAGGAGACTTATTAGCTAATTTTAACAAAACTCCCTTCACCGCCATGCATCATGGGAATTCTTGACAGGAAGAGCTTTTCAATTAAAATTTGCCTGATTACATTAATTTGAATTCACTCAATATTCTCTCTATTTGGGATTAGATAAATATAATGCTTATGTTTTATTTAACTACAGTTGGTGGATTTTATTACAAACATTTTTATTTGAAATTGAATTAAATATTTGCCTCAAAATCAAAAACACAATCATATTGAATATATTTTACCTAATACATTAATTCAAATCTACATGACCACAGAATCCTTTTTTACAATGAATGGCATTTAATTGACTTAGTGAAAGCCAAAGATACACTGAACACATGGAAAGTAAAATGTACGTATGTGTATCGTTTTGTATTAAAAAATGTGAAAAAGCCCTGTCATTAAAATAGATACTTTTTTCATCCAAATCAGACATAACAGTGAATTAAATAAATCTTTACAATTGATAGGCTCTAATTTATTCAAGGTAGACAGCTAACGTTAGCGTAATAACATTAAGTTAACCAGTCACACTAAACGGTAGGGTTATCAAAACATTAACATTAAAAGGCAAATTAGCCTCATTAGGTATAACCAGAGATAGAGATAGAGATATTTGCCTGTAGGTGGTCATGAGTTACACCACATGAACTGAACTAATGAGAAAGCCACTGCCTGGCGTAAGTAATGGCAAACCAGGCAGTCTGGACTAGCCTGGCGTACATCACGAGTGAGTGACAACTCGAGATTCGTATCATTTAGATATGAGAGTAAACTTGGCGATGACCAAAATCACTTGTTCTGGTCTCTATGAGGCTGAAAAAACACATTGAGACTAGTGAGCAAGAGACAGACCGAGGAAGACGCAGCTGGAGCCAGAGACGCCTCAGCTGTGACAACTAGATTGTTGCCTGTCACATTCAAGGCTTTCAGATGGACCCTTTCAAATAAATGCCACTGAGCAGTAAGCAGAGAGGTGGTCTGGCTCTCTGTTCACTTTTTTGGTGTGAAAAAATAGTCTGTCTAAATGCTGCAGTCAGCTCTCTGTTTGGAGGTCAGACAGGAGCTGACTGTCACTTAGCATTTGACTATCTTAGCTGTGGTTTGTACCAGGTCCAGTTAATCTTTCAGCAGTTTAACAAGCTGCTGCTGGTTGATGTCAGTGTGACTGCTTTGTCAAAATAATCACAGGCTCAAAGAGAATGTTTTTGATCAATTTTCCTGCCGTGAAAACTTGCCAAGATTGGAATCCATCATAACTATATAAGCTATCAACATGCTGTTCTCCGTGAAGAATTTAATGAACCCTACAGTGGGTGAGTGTTTGATGCTGATATGATTTAATAATAATTAATGTAATTCATTCTCATTACAAAATAAAAATGTTAAATTACTCATTCAAACACAATACAGCCTTTCTCTGTCTGGTATGAGCAGTAGTTTATTGTTCACTTTATGTAACTGATATTAGTCAGTTTGGAAACTTTATGACTATTTTCTACTTCTGCAGCAGATACAGTATGTTTAAAGCAAGTATTTTAATCCTAAAATAACAGCTTCAAAATCATTTTGAAGGTGCACTTGCAGCTCGGTAGGCAGAACTATGTAGGATTGAAATCCTGGGCAGGATTTCTATTGTAAGAACAAAACTTCAGCAAGCAAGTTATAGGAAGAAGCAAAGAGTGTATAATGTACAATGTAAGTTCTTTGGAATAAGTTAGCTCGGTATTCTCAGTATGGATAATATCATGGCAAGAAGAAGACGTTGGAGGAAGAGAAAAAGAGATAGTGACCGAGCAAGCCTGGTAACAGTCTGAGCCTGTCTGTGGCAAATGGGCACAATTCCTCCAAAGGAATACGTTGCATCCACTGCAGCTGGTTCAAGGCTGCTGGCTGAAGTCCTCTACTGCACAGATTTCAAAACATTCTGTACATACTAGTCATTTCGACACCAAAATATTTGATAATAGGACCCAAAAATACTGAAATTACCCTTTAATACTGTCAGTTTGTCAGACAATTCAAATTACTTTAGGCAGGTCTCACACATTGTACATTAGGTTAAAACTTTTTAGTTATTATAAAGTAATTAAAATAAAAAGAATCTGAGCAACAAACATGTCCCCTATATTGATGGTCATGATCCATGATCCATGACCATCAAGCCTCAGACATGGTGACCTCTGGTGGCATTTAGGGAACACAAGGACACAGAAGCTGGTCTTTAGAGTGCATGCTGTGTATTCTAGACAACCCATGTTTGTTTTTTAACTGCACTTCAGCTAAGGACATCTGCAGTTTGCAGGAGCAATGTACCAAAAAGGTCTGCAATTACCATAAGGAGATACTGACTCACGAGACACAGAAACAAAGCACTGCAGGTAAAAATGAACACAGGTGCTGCATCTTAGAAAGAACTTTGTGCCAACTTGTCATGCATGGCAGGAAAACCTCAAAGTTAGACTTATTTTGTCTAATGTGCAAGCTCCTGCTGTCGCAGACACCAAAAACTATAATGGCGCCAGATCTTTAAATTACAACTCAAGAGAGAATAAACTGTAAAATATATTTACTCACAAAATAGCTACCATGCATAATATCACTTGTGAGACGAGGCCAGAGCTGAAACAAGGAAGCATTGAGCCTTGTGTTCACAGGACATGATGTTACACAGTAAAATGCCTTATCTGCCTTCAGCTGACATGAGAGGCTAATAAACATGAAATGAAAACTGGGCTCTCATGCTTAGCCCAGTTTCAGGCGTGGAAAAACAGCAATCACCCTCATATCACGAGGCTTTTGACTTTGTGCATGCCTTCTTCAGGCTAGCAGAGTTGCTCTAGTCTAGTGGCTCTGTTTGGCAGTGCTAACACATATTATTTAGCATATTAATATGCTTACAGTTGCTAATTAAAGGTTAACA